CAGAGGTCGGAGCCTCTGCGACCTCTCATCCAGTTTCCTATTCCTCCAGGCCAGACGAATCTGTTCTGTGGCGAGGCCATCCTTGAAACATCACAGTGCACTTCAGAGATGCCAGACACTAGAGGAGGCAGAGGCCAACTTCACTCCCATAAAAGATCAGAGTTGGGAATGAAACACTAGTTTGACACTGATCCAGACATTTTTGATGGGACTGCTAAAAATCATCAGTTGGCACATTTTAAAATCGCTCCAAGCAAGCTCCACCCCAAGAATCTCTATTTCCTATATTGATGGGGATGCTGAGCTGGAAGAACAGAGAACTCCTCTAATAAGAGCGCAGTACTGTGGCAGGTTCCCACCGATATCCTGTGGCCAAGGTTGAGGTGCGGGGCTAGCTGCTGGCCACTCAGATGGAGCCTCTGCCAACAGGGGTCCAACGCCATGTTCCAGGGATGCTCCTACCTGGCCCCGGGGTTAACCTGTTTGTCCAGGATTTAAAGAAAGGCATAACTGAGAGGGTTCGTCGACGTCCTATCAATGGCATCAGGGGTTGAGATGATCAGAGGATCACTCCAGAACCCAGAAACAAGGGTCAGCTACTGAACACAGTAACCTCCAAGCACAAAGTGCTCCCCAGGCAGCAGCCATCTTATTCCATTTAGTCCTCACAAAAAAACCTATTTTGAACCCAAGAATATTGAGGTTTAAAGATGTCAAGATCCGCCCATATCACAGCACGGTTAGACTCCAAGGGCTTTGCTCTTCCTGCCTCAGTAGGCTGATCACATGTACCTGGGCAAATGCAAACCAGATACTTCAGCTCAAATATTAATCTCACTAACTACGAAACGGGATAGGCCTATGAAGAAACTCATGGTTTTAGATTATTTCAAGCTTGATAACACTATAATGTGGCTGCTACGACAGCTTTCATGCAACTTTAGGCACATAAATGAAACTATTACTGGTGGCCAGGTCAGAAGCTGCAGCTGCGAGGGGCTCCAGGACTCACTCAGGGGGCAACAGTCCCCTCTGTTCTGTCCTGGCCCCGCCACATCTGCAGGACTGGATTCAGTTTGGGACACTGGGCTTTAAGAGAGCCATGGACAAGTTGGGGTTCTTTTGCTTAAAACTTTTAAACACCTTGAACCCAAGAAATGAGAAAGAAGTGGGGATAGTTCAGACTGGGAGGGACTCAGGAGATCCTAGCAGTGGGCAGGGGGAGCAGATCCAATCCAAGTCACTGACAAGGCCAGCAAGGGAGCATCAAGGGAGGACAGAGCTGTCTGCAAAAGCATCTGTTCACAAAGCAACGAGCCCCAGGCCACTGGAGGCGTCTGAGGAGAAATGGGGACCTTGTCAAAGACACTACAGGAGAGGTAGTGAAGTCTAGAACCCATGGCCTCACAAGGCTCTTGTAAAGGTATGAGACAAATATTTGCAGAGCAGAGATGTCTGTCCTGGCAAGATTTTTGGAGAGGACGGCCAAATGGAAGAGAGGAAGGGATGTGCTAGAATGATTGGTCTCTCTGTCCCCTAGCACTGGGCCCTGACCTGTTCCAGGCACTCTGGCCAATGATCCTGGGAATTTCAATCCTCAGAGACTCCAAGGGTCCCCACAAAACAGGAGAAGTGAGAACCTATGAACTTAAAAGTGATAGCCACTTCCCACCATTTCATCTAACAAATACCCCACCCAGCAGAGCCTGTTTGCTGGAATATTATCTGCCCTCAGTAAAACCCCATCCCAAGACAACTGGAGCGTGTGCATGTTGAATGGAGTCAGGAGAGCACTCCGGAGGAGGGAGGGGAGCTCTGTCTACCCCATTTTTAAGGGGGATTTTTGGATGCTAACACCCTGGGACTATGTGTCCTCTCCCCCACATGAATTCTGTCCTTTCACAAATTAGTGTCATGCTCCCTCCCCAGCTCCTCACTGAGGGCAGATCCTGGCAACCACAGAGAAGTGACGAGACCTTGAGTTCACTGAGAGTCCCATTTTAAATGAGCACCAAGAGTGCAAAGTGAGGCCAGGACAGTGGGCAAAGGGCTCTGGGCCACCAGGGTAAGTAAAGCCACATGGCCTATCAAACCTCTTGGAGAGGAAAGGCTGAAGTCACTGGACACTCAAAGGTAAAACAGGTGGGAGGGGTCCAGGGGAGGTGGAAAATCAGAAGCTTGGTCGCTCCCAGGAGCAGACTGACTCCTAAGTTGTGGCAGGGAATTTGAGCCCAAGGAAAAGGCCCAGCAGGGACCAGGACAGAAGGAAGAAGGTGGACTGGGGGCGGGGGACACAGGCCTTGGCACATAGACAGGTTCCCACAGCCCCCTTGCTCACAGCCCTGCCTCTCCCTCCACACCTGGTCAGGGTCAGCTTTCTGGCAAAGCTGACCCACCCAAAATAGAACTATTTGTGCAATGCATATATTATTACATCCTCGTGAAAGTGGCTGCCAGAAGAAAACATTTTTATGTGCTGTGGTCGCACAGATGTTCCACGAGGTGATTCCAACTGAAGCTGAAGTCAGAGGCCAGCCCGCTGGCTCTATCAAGCTCCTCTCCTCTCCGTGGCTTGGATACAGGAAGGACATGGGCAAGTATCTGGAAAGCAGGCTGTTTTCCTCCGCTGTCCTGTAGCATTTTTCAGTGAGTACAACCTGAAGGGTGGGGCCTTGAAGAAAGCCGGCCCCACCCAGCTCCAAAGCTCATCTGGAGGCCCAAGGGGTAAGGGCCTTGGCCTGTCTAGGCCTCCATTTCCTTGCCCCTGCCTCGCACTAAGTGAGCTAATATATGCACAATGCCCAGAACTGTGCCTGGCAGAATGGCAGCTTCATTCCCAGGACTGTCTGGTCCTAGCTCTTGGGCAGAAGCCAGCCGTGTCCTCCTGGTTACTGAGCTGTACTGCAGGCCAGCACTGAACACTGTCAAGCCAGAAAACAGCAGTC